TTGCTGTTCTCGGTCTGAACTCCAGGTCGTACTGGCCCAAGGCCACTGCCCATCTTGCTATTCTTCCAGTTAAGTCTCCTTGTTGTAACAATGACTTCAGTGGGTGCTCTGTTAGCACTATAATCTTGTGCGCTTGAAAGTAATGGTTCAGCTTTTTTAAAGCCATTACTAAAGCTAGTGCCAATTTTTCTAAGGGTAAATACCTTGTTTCTGCATCGGCTAGGGTTTTGCTTACATAGTAAACAGCCCTTTGCTCTCCTTTTTCTTCACAAATTAATACCTCACTTATTGCATGTTCTGAAACGGCTAAGTACAGGAACAGCTCCTCCCCTAGTTCTGGATTGGAAAGAACTGGAGCTGTGGTCAAGTACTTATTTAGGTCAGCCAAAGCGGCTTCGCATTCTTCTGTCCACAAGAAGTCTGTGGCTTTCTTCACCAAGTTGAAGAAAGGTTTACATTTGTCTAAGCTTCGGCTTATGAACCTGTTTAGGGCCGCGACCCTTCCAGTAAGCATCTGAACCTGTTTTGCCGACATCGGGCTTTTCAGCTCTTAAATGGCCTTCATTTGATCTGGGCTGGCCTCAATGCCCTTTCTTGTTACCAGGTATCCCAAAAACTTACCTGATCCAACTCCAAATGCGCACTTCAATGCGTTGAGTCGGAGCCGGTATGTTTTGAGTATATCAAAGACCACTTTTAGGTTGGCAAGATGACCCTTAGGTTCCTTAGTCTTTACGACCATGTCATCGATGTAGACCTCTACTGTTTGGCCAATCAGGTGTTTGAACATCTTGGTTACCAACCTTTGGTAAGTTGCTCCTGCGTTTTTCAATCCAAAAGGCATTACCTTGTAATAGTATAACCTTTTCGGGGTGATAAACGCTGTCTTCTCCTCATCTGGGGGGTACATGGCTATCTAGTGGTATCCCCTATAAGCATCCAGGAAGCTTATCCTTCCATGTCCAGATGTGGCGTCTACCAATTGGTCAATCTTGGGTAGAGGAAAGCTGTCTTTGGGACAAGCTTTGTTCAGGCTTGTAAAATCTACGCAGACCCTCTATTTACCGTTCTTCTTCTTCACCACTACTGTGTTGGATAGCCATGTCGGGTAGTGAACTTCTCGGATGGCCCTGGCCTCCAGAAGTCTGTCTACTTCTTCCTCTACTACTTCGACGTGCATCAACGTCGGTCTTCTGGCTCGTTGAATTACAGGTTTTTCCGATCTGTCGACATTCAGTTTGTGGCAAGTAACCTCGGGGTCAATGCCAGGCATTTCGTAAGGTGTCCAAGCGAACACCTCAATATTGGCTCTTAGAAAAGCTTCCAACTCTTTTACCTCCTCTTCGGCTAAGTCCGAGCCGAGAAAAAAGAAGCGTTCTTCGTCCCCATCCTCGACGAGGATTTTCTTTAGCGCCTTTTCGCTCTTCTTGGCTGGTTCTTTGCCGACGTCTTCTAGGACTTCTAAGTCCTCATCTTCAATTTCTGCCTTCTCTGGCTATCGCACACTGCAGGTAGATTTCATTGCTGCCATGGAGCAACTCTTCGCCTGTAGCTGATCGCCTCTAACTTCCTCTATCCCATGCTCTGTTGGGAATCGCAGTGGTTGATGCAATATTGAGGGAACTGCCACCATTGCATGCAACCATGGCCTTCCCAAGATGATGTTGTATGGCGAAGGCTTGTCAATCACCATGAATTATGTCCTGACCTTCTTAGTGACGGCTTGTACTTCTAAGCTTGTTGCGCCCAGTAGCCACGCGGCGTTCCATTGAAGCCGACCATCGGGCCATTGGATTGCTCCAAGTCATCAGGATGAAGGCCCAGCTCTTTGTAACATCTAACATACATGATGTCGCAAGAGCTGCCTTGATCAATCAAGATGCGTTTCACTTGGCATTCCCCAACCTGGAGGGATACTACCAAGGCATCATTATGTGGATGCTAGACCATCTTTAGGTCGGCTTTAGTAAAGGCTATCGTCGGTCCCTGGCATTCTTCAGGCCGAGGTCTTTTATGTCTGACCTGGTTCACGTGCTGTAGGTGTTTTACCTTCTGAGTCTCCCCTCGTATGTCGTTTTCGTTTACCTTTGATTGCATTACATTAACCACCCATGGTCCTCCTGCCTGTGGTTGCTGAGCTGGGGGAGGTGGAGCTGCTGGTGCTTGAGGCAATCTTGCCTGTTCTTCTCTAGTCCTGGCCTCATCGACAAGGTCCCTCAGATGGCCTTGCCTTACCAAGTCTTCTAAGTGTACTTTTAGGGCTCTGCAGCCCTGAGTTTGGTGCCCTTGTTCATTGTGATAAGCAAAACGCCTACCGACGTTTTTTCCCATAAATTCCCCTGGTGTTCTTGTCGGTCCTCTGAAATAGGGTTGGTTTTGTATTTGATCCAGGACTTTGTGGACCGGGATTCGGAACACAGTCGTCACTGTCTGTTTAGCCCTCAATTCCGTTTCTTGTTTAGTTGATCCATTGTTACCTCAGCCTCGCTTCGGCGAGCCGTTTCCTTTCTCCTGCTTTGTCTCTTTGTTTCCCGACGTATCCTCCTCGGCTCTGGCGTGCTTTTCGATTCTCGCCATGAGTTCTTCCATACTTTTTGGCAATGTCTTTGCCAAAGACTTCCGTAGTGGACAGTCATCTTTCAGGTCATTCTTGAAAGACACGACCGCCACCTCTTGGTTGCGTTCGGGTATTCGATTGAACACCTCGTAGTACCTTTTTGCATAGGCCCTAAGGCCTTCATCCTTGGTGATCCTTAAAGCCATCAGAGCGTCGACCCTCAAGGGCTGTAGTTTGTTCGTCACAAACATGGCCACAAACATCTCGGTCAGGCCTTCCCAAGTCTTTATGCTTCCCTTCGGCAGTTTATGGAACCAATCTGATGCAATCTCCCCAAAGGATGAGGGGAATACTTTGCAGAACAAAGGCTCGTTCCCACTATATAATGCCATTGAATTCAGGTATAATTCAACGTGAAAGTTGGGATCTGACTTACCGTCATATATTTGGAACCTCAGCATACTGAATCTCTTTGGTACTTCAAATTTGTCCAGTTCCACCGAGAATAGTGTCATCGACTTAACCGGGGAAGTTACCTCGGCTTCAGCATTCTGTTGCTTCCTCTTGAGATAATCTCTCAAGTCTTCTTTACTCCTCCCTGGAGCTCGGCTATCTTTGGACTTCAATTTTTTTGACACACTACTTTTGGCCTCGTAGTGGGCCCGCTTTGATCTTTCTCCATGGGTTGTGTCAAAGCAGAGCGCCTGTCCTTGAACATGCCGATGTTCTTTGGGCTCTGGGTCCTTCGTGTGATACGTCCTTCGGGACTCCTCTCGTCCCGGCTCCTCCCGTCCGACTTCCCTGGAAGGTCGGTGAGAGTATCTTCCACTCCTGGTGTACAGAGGAGCTTCGGGGATTGTTTTCCTTCCTCCCTTCTGGGTGTTAGTTGCTGGAATCGACGTGTCGTGCAGCGGATACAGTGGCTGTATGACATTGTTTTGCATCATGAAGTTGACGACCGACTGCAGGTCTGCCAACTTGTTTGCCAATTCTTTTACTTCTTCATCCCTCCGTAGGCACCTATCCCTCCATACCTGGAGGTTATCTTTGTTATAGTACCTGTTTTGGTCTGTCTTCTTCGAAGTGTCGCCCTCCTGGCTGACGTCTTTCTCTCCGTGGCCCTGGTCACGAGTTTCTACATTGTGGTTGTCTCCTTCGACATCAAGGTCTATATGTCTGCCACTCCCAGCAAGAGTGTCGTCCCCTATCTTTTCATTCTGTGCGTTGCTGGCCATCTATTCTTCCTTCTTCCCACAGACGGCGCCAAATTGTGTGAGTGATTTTCTGACCACACTGCCCGTTTAATAATCAGCTAGAGAGCACCGACAGAATAGATAGCTTCAGTTAACCTGTAATAGAAAGAAAAGGCTCCGGCGATGGCTCTTCCACCCGGGGGCACTCCGACGATCAAGTCAATATATCTCTCAAAGATAATCAAGTGCTAAACTTACTGCTCAAAGCATAAATGGCGTACCTTAGACCCACAGGGGTATCTCTCTTTTATAGTTTACTTAATCCTAGTCCCACTAGAAGCCTCACTTCTATAGACTCCAATTCAGTACTTACTTTGGACTCTTCAAGAGATAAAGATAAACTCCCTAAGAGCTTTATCATCATCTTGACTAAGTCTTCCCTTCATTCTAAGACTCTTGTCCCTTATCCGTTTATCTCGGATTCCAATATCTTCGGAGATAATCTCGGCAATGCCGAAATAACCTTAGCATAATGACCAGGACACGTGGCACCTCGGCTGACACATCGACGTCACCTTACTACGTGTTGGAACTCAAAAATATATCCCCACATTACTCAAGGTTAATAAAAACTTTAAGAATATAATAAAATCACATAAATTAATTATAAAATCTGACACAATCTTATCGTGCACGTGTGATAAGTCTCTTCATTTTACGGATCACACTTGTACAAGAGGTTCATCTGCTACTTCGTGTGTGTAAATAGAAGAACTTTATGAAAGCAAACTAAAACTACAACAATGATAGAGACCACTAATTTTGGAGCTCTAAAAAGACCACTAATGACATGACACTCAATAAAAAAAGAAAAAAAATACAACACCAAAGTCAAAATATCAAATCATTCCTGGTAAGATCTACTGTCACATCATTAGTGATAGCACTAATTAGTGCTCTCCCTCATTTTTCCTAAAACTAATGGCCAATTAATCTTCAAGAAGGTCGCTACCCCACATTCAACTACATGAACAACGTCGACATGAAACGAAGAAGAAGGTTGTTTGTTACTTTAAGAAGATAGTAAAAGCAAAGCACGTGGGTCAAGCAGACAGACTACTACACACCTAACCAACTAGTTGGGGCAGGCAGGCAGACACAAGTTTTGCATTCAAAAAAAATTATTCTTGTCCGAGCTTGCCCATATAAAGGCTTCATTTAACTCAAAATAATAAGTCAATAAAAAAAATTAATTTGTTTGAAGTTTTTTTAAATAATTAGAGTCGACTATTTAAGGAAAAATAAATATGGCTAAATAATTTACAGAAAAAAAAAATATAACTTTTTTTTAAATCAATGTAACTTATTATTATGACATTGAAAGGGTGAATCCCAAAGTTAATAAACTCTAGTCAGTAAATTAACACACTAACAACAATCAAACTTGCCTTGCTCTGATTCGCTCCAAGAAAGTGTCAAAAACAAGAAGTTCACTACATTTGGTATTCTTCTGTAACATATAGAGCAGCATAGTCGGAATACCAAGCCCTGTCCAGAGAGAGAAAGAGAGGTACCATGGAAGAATCCACAGCCGAAATCAGAACTCCTCTGAGTAAGTCTTCTTCTTCTTCTTCTTCCGAACTTGATCTACAATTCAAATCATACACAACCACCCTTCTTATATTCATTCATTTATTATATATATTTCTCTGCAGTATCAAAGGATGGGAAATCTGAAGAACCATCGACCTCAGAGTCTGAGATTAACGTCGAACGAGTCCATCAACCGAAGGAGGAGGAGGAGAACTCGCCGGTGAAGCAGGTGGCTCTGACCGTACCCACCACCGACGACCCGTCCCTCCCGGTCCTGACCTTCCGGATGTGGGTCCTGGGAATCCTTTCTTGCATCCTCTTATCTTTCCTCAACCAGTTCTTCTGGTACCGGACCGAACCGCTGACAATCACGGCCATCTCGGCTCAGATCGCCGTCGTGCCGCTTGGACAACTGATGGCGGCGAAGATCACGGACCGGGTGTTCTTCAAGGGAAGTCGGTGGGAATTCACGTTGAATCCGGGGCCATTCAATGTCAAGGAACATGTGCTTATCACCATCTTTGCAAACTCTGGTGCTGGCACTGTCTATGCTATTCATGTGGTTACTGTTGTCAAGGTGTTCTATAAGAAGCACATCACCTTCTTTGTCTCCTTAATCGTTGTTATAACGACACAGGTTAGTGATCTAAATCCGCCACACAACCAGGCACAAAATGTATATCAACATATAATTATATTTTTCAAAAGTAGAATGCATTCAGTAAAATTTTACTTATGTCTATTCTGTGTCTGATTTTGTGACCCGACGGTTGTGGATGAGGATTGGTTGGTTGAGTTGGGCGGTTCATGTTTTGATTGGGCGTTGGGTTTGAACTTTTGAATGGTAGGTGTTAGGGTTTGGATGGGCTGGAATATTCAGAAGGTACCTGGTGGAGCCATCAGCTATGTGGTGGCCTGCAAATTTAGTCCAGGTTTCACTGTTCAGGTATGTTTACAATTACGTTTTTGTGTAAGTTTTCCAGTGGATATCCGGTGATTCAACCGGTGTTTTTGGGAGGTGGACACAAATATGGCACGTGTGTGTGTCCCAGATGGGTATGGCTCCTCCCATTCAATTTCTATTATTTGGGGGTGGACGCGGATTGGTTACGGCCACCGAATTTTTGATTTGTCATCCGTTTGTCAAATTAGTAGATTGGAAAAAATCAATTCGCATCCATCTATAAATCTGGCAGATATAGATTAAGCGGATTGACGGATGGATGCAAATTAGTTTGGCGGTTTAAAATTTTATAAATTTTCAATATAATTCAACTTGTGTACTTTCTTAAAAAAAAAAATATTACAGTCAATGACTTAAAAAAAGTATTACAATCACTGCATGTCTCATCCAAAGAAAGAAAGTTTGAAACTTTAGAATATTACAATCATTGCATACCTCATTTATATATTACAATCACAGCATGCCCCATCTACATAAAGTATTACAATATATGATTATTAAAATATAAAAATAATTCAAACCACCAAAACCATGAACAGACCAGTAGTAGAGATTATATGTCTCTATATTGTTATATCTATATCTGTTTTTGAAAATAAAAACCAACCAGTATATATCATTTCTTTTATTTATTATTTTTAGAGTTGATTTAAAAATTAAAAAATATAGATAAATAATACATTTATTTTTTTCAGTTCAAAAAATATATTTAAGTTGAAAACTTTTTTTAACAGAATATTTTTTTTTTCAATTGAAAATACAAATAAAATATCTAAACAAATTAAAAATACAAAATTTTACAAATTATTAAGGATGCTCGCAGTTTGGTGATTCGATTGCAGCCAAAGGAACCTCAAATCTATCATCCATCCAAAACTAAGCGAATTGAAAAAAATCAATCCGCAACCGTCCACTCATCATCACACATCCATTCAACATGTGACGAATCAATTCAATTAGATCAATTTAAACAGATTGATATATTCGCTGCTTACTCCTACTATTACTAGTCTGATTCCTGTACGCAATAACATGTATCATTGTTTAGGAAATAAAACCAAGGATAAAGATTGGTAGCTCGAAAATTTACCCCCCCTAATCCCCCTAATGCCCAAAACGACGTCGTTTTGGGCATTAGTCTTTTTTTTCTTTTTTTTCTTCCATTTTCGAAGCTTTTCAAGCTCAAACACAGACGGGGAAGAGGGAGAGGGAGAGGGAGAGGGAGAGAGAGAGAGGGAGAGCGGAGAGGAGAGAGGGATACACACACACACACAGAGGCCCCCCTGCATTCCGGCTGACCGTCCGATCGTCGCAGCTCCGCCATCGTCGCAGCTTGGAAATGGATCGTCGCAGCTCCAGTCCCTTCTTCTTCCTCCTCCTCCTTCCCTCTCTTCTTCTTCTTCCCTTCTTCCTCTTTTTCTTTCTTCTTCTCTGCTTTCTTTCTTCTTCTTCGTCTCTTCTGATTTTCTGATTGACAAAAAATAATAATAAATTAAAACGACGAAACGACGTCGTTTCGTCATTTAGGGAGGGATTCGGGGAGGCTATGTAAACATAAAATTTCAGAACATAAACCTTACACTTTGGATCATTTACCATGTGTATTATCAAGAGATCAAGACAAAATGACATACCTGAATCCATTGATGAACGGTTAAACGGAAGCGTCTGATTGTCAATAAAACCTTAATATTGACTTTGTTAGAGCGCTAAAATAACCAAAAAACCCTGCAAACCCACTTGCCAAACAGAGGCCAAGCCTACCACCTTCTGAGGCAAATGCTTGTAAAATTTGAACATAATTTACTTTTTTTAGTTTAAAGAGTGACCTACCACTTTTATCGTAACTTTTGACAAATGAACAAACAAATATTACAGTACAATAATAGAAGGTGACCTGAAAAATCATGGTTCAACGTAGTTGAGTCATTTTTTTTATATATTTTTCAATATTTTCATTAAAAAATGTTACAGATTCCATAAATTTGAACATAATACGTATAAATTACAATTGTATTTTGATCTTAACAATATTTATACCATGTCTTTAGGCACGGACATACACTAGGGATAGCCTTAATTACAATTGTCCACATGATAAATATTGTTAAGATCCTACCATTACAAATAGATTATCTATGCACATCTATCTATCTAGCTATATATTATATAAGCAAAAACGAGTTTTCGTAAAGAGTTTTGTAAGAACTTTAAATTTTTATAACAAATTTGTGATTTTATCAAATTAAAAAATATATTTAAATAGTGTTGGGATTACAATTATATTCTAATTCTAACATTATTTATACCGTATCTTTAGGCACGGGCATACGCTAGTTAATAGATAAATTACTAATAGATCTTAATAATTAGATTTTATTTTCATAAAGTCTTTTTAAAAATAATTTTTTGTGATACTTTTTTGAATATATCATTAAAAATTAACAATTAATAACTTTTTTATATCACAATTTTTTTAAATTGTTACTAAAACTTACAATTAGTAATGTTTTTCTATTAAAAAAAAATTTAAACTGTTACTAAAAATTAAAAATTAACGATTGTTTTCATTTTTACCAATTAAATTATAACATTTATTTTTTATTATATATAATTAATGACATAATAATTATAATATATATTCTAATAAAATAGTTAAATTTTAATTCATTCTAAATTATTTCTATATTTTTAAAAATAAATTTTATATGATTATTCAATTTAAATTTTATTTTTAATTATTTATTTAGTCCGTGCATTGCCACGTTCGCATCCTAGTTCTCAAAAGCAAAAGGCTCATGTTATTGAGACGTGGCAACATATCATCCGCTGGACAATATTCTTTGAATCTGTTGTTTCTCCACGGTAACACCGTAAAAAGTATTGTTATACGGGAAAATGAGTGAGAACACTAATTAGTGCTACCACTAATGATGTGGTAGTGGGTCCCACCATGAATGATTTGATGTTTTGACCTTGGTGTTGTATTTTTTTTCTTTTTTTATTGAGTGCCATGTCATTAGTGATCATTTTAGAGTTCCAAAATTAGTGTTCTCTATCATTGTTGTTGTTATAAGTAAGTGGTAAATATTTTTTTAATTTTTTAATATATAAATTAATGAATAATTTTTTTTTTTCATTCAATTAATGAATGAATTACAAATACACTTATAATATGAATTACCCTTATAATTTTAAAAATTACAAATATTTCATTGTTAGAATTTTTCATTTAACAGAATTAATTAAAAAAGTAAAATTTCTAACTTTTCACTTATATAATAATAAAATTATATGAATTATTAATTGAAATAAAATTTTAACATTATTAAAAACTGTTGATTAATTTGATGATTTATTAATAAAAGAATCTATTTGTTATGAAATTAGAAATCTTATGGGACATAATGTAATTTCTAGAACCACAAAAGTAATTTGTAATTTAAATAAACCTTAGGGGGTGTGTTTATAATTTGTCCTAAATTAGTAGATAAATTATTAATAGATCTTAATAATTTGACTTAATTTTCATAAATCTTATTAAAAATAATTTTTTGTGATGATTTTTTGCATATATTATTAAAAATTAATAATTAGTAACTTTTTTTGTCTCACAAATTTTATAAATTATTACTAAAACTTATAATTAGTAATATTTTTCTATGACGAATTTTTCAGGCTATTATTGAAAATTAAAAATTAACGATTTTTTTAACTATTTCTAAAACTTATGATTAGTAATATTTTCACTAAAAATTTATTTATATAATATTTTTCACATCAAATAAAAATGAGTAATATTAGGAATGTCAATTTTTTTATCAAATAAATAATCAAATGTTTCACACGGGTGGAGTTCACATTTTTATGAACTCCATACGATGTAAGATATTTAGTCATTCATTTAATAAAAAATTTAGGACCTATAGTGTTTTTCAATAAAAGCTCCTGTAACTTTAAAGATGAAATTTTGGAACCATCTAAATAAATTGTTTATTAATTTATTTATTATAAATTATCACATTATTTTTTATTTTTTATACGTATTTAAATAAAAAGTTAAGAAAAATTTACGTGTACGTCATAATAAGTAGATTTATTATTTAATAGCTCATGTAATAATTAATGATATTTTTCATCAAAAACTATTAAAAAAGTCAATAATTGTTAATTATTAGCTACACTTTGACACATTCGAACCATTCGAACCATGAAAATTCGGGCCACCAAATATTTTCCAAAAAAATATTTGGTTTGTGTTTCTCAAAAAATCTAAATAAATTGTTTATTAATTTATTTATTATAAATTATCACATTATTTTTTATTTTTTTATACGTATTTAAATAAAAAGTTAAGAAAAATTTACGTGTACGTCATAATAAGTAGATTTATTATTTAACAGATCATGTAATAATTAATGATATTTTTCATCAAAGACTATTAAAAAAGTCAATAATTGTTAATTATTAGTTACACTTTGACACATTCGAGCCATTCGAACTACGAAAATTCGGATTACCAAATATTTTCCATTACAGTATAGGAAAATATGTCAGAGTATTGTTCCAATACTACCAAATAATTGTTCGTAGACTTCTCTCCAATGAATTAGATGGTCAAATTAATTTTTTTAAAAACAAAAATTAAACTACTTCCCAGGAGCTCTATTTTAACATACTATTTTTGTTCAGCTCATACACTTGATTAGTAATTTTTTTTATTACAATTTTTTTTTTTTTTTATGTAATTCATATCCAAATGAAGGGTGTGAAAACTTTGAAGTATGTGAATTGTTACAATTTTTTTAATGTTTTATTATTATAATTTATAATACATAGATATTAATTATTTTTACATGTACAAATTTGAAAGAGTGATTTTAACTTTTATGAAAAAAATATCATGAAAAATTTATAAAAAGTTTTTACTTTTTAATTACATATACCATAAAATATCATAAACTAATCAAAAGATAAAAAAAATTTATAATATTTTTTATGAAATTTTTTTCATTAAAGCTAACATTATTCAATTTGAGTAACTAAGGCTGAGTAAGGAATCCGTGAAATCCGTAATCCGATCCAATCCAGTTCAATCCGATAGGTTTGGATTGATTTTTTGAATCCGTGGTTCGGTTCCGGATTGAAGAATTAAAAATCCGTAGTCCACGGATTGGTTCCAGATTTCAAACCGTGTACAAATAGTCTATATTTTTATTATACATCATCTCCCACAGTATCTTATCTTATTCTATATAAAACCCAAACTCAAACCTAAATTCGTATAATATCTTCTTTTATTACTTTTGTTTATTAGTTTTTAGTTTTAATTTGTAATGGTCTAAATACTTATGGTGAAACCAGTTTTCTTAATGTTGTTTAAATTCTAGAACAGTATGTCGTTATTATAGAAAAATATGTTACTATTGTAAAACTAATATAGCGCTATATTTATGTTTTTAAGAAATTAAAGTGTTAAATATATATTTTTTGTTATTTAATTATGTGAATCCGTGGTCCTAAACCGATTCAATCCGTGTTTAAATGGATTGGTTCGGATTGGTTCCATGATTTAAATGGATTGGATTGATTCCAATTTTTTAAGAACCGTAGATAACGGATTGGTACTGATTTTATCCTAATCCGGACCATGCTCACCCCTATGAGTAACAATGTTGAGCATGGACAATTAGAGCACAATATCGTGAATGCGTTTTCCTCGCCACTTTGTAATGTTAGAGCATCTCTAACGGTTCACCAAATTTTTCACTAAATCTAAGTAAAAAAAAAGATCATTTTCTCAACTTGATACAGACTGCTCCAATGGTTGTCATCAAAGCAGGGGTCGACCAGTGGGTCGACTGGCCGGTCAACCGGTTAGTGTATTTTTTTTTACCTCTTTGAACCTTTTGACCTGTTTGAACCAACCTATTTGCAAGGGAACCGGTCGACTGGTTGGTCAATCGGTCGGTTGACTAGTTGGTCTCCCCCAACGGTCACGCACAGTAAATTGGTCAAATCTTCCCCCTGTTCTCACTTTGATGAAAAATCTGGTGAATTCTCGTTTTGATACCAATTTGATGAAACTATTGGAATTGCAAAAAGTGACTTTTTTACCAAATTTTAAATCTGATGCAAGGTTTGATGAAACGTTAGAGACGATCTTAGGTGACTTGTATCTGACAAACTTTATTTTTGTTGTTATCATATACCCAAAAATAGAAAAAATGATGCAAGATTTGAGACAATTATATTATACAATTTCTTGCTTAGACACACACAAGTATTGGATATATAAGTAATATATTTATCAATTATCATATGAACTATGAAACACATATCTATAATTTTTTAAATTGCGCCCTTAACAATTGAAAATCAGAAGATAGAATAATTTTAAACACGCAACAACTTTTAAACTGATCTTTTAAGATTACCCTAAGTGTCTTTTTTTTCTTTTTGTTTTTTCCTCCTCTTTATGATAATTTTGAAGAAGTTTCCAAACAAGACTTTAATCAAGCATTTTTCATCTACAACAATGATTGAGGCCCCCATTTTTTGGAGACCCCACAACCCTCTTTGAATCTTCACCATTGATGTGTGGGGCCCACACATACATCAATGGTAGAGATTCAAAAGGAATTGTAGGGGTCTCCAAAAAATGGAGGTCTCAAGCATTTTTCATCTAAAAAGCTACAAATTAATGGGAAATTATTTACTAATCCCGGAACACTACGTGACCATACTCCATGTCAATCACCAATTACTTAACCCTTATGTTGTTTCTCATCCCCAACATAAATCGTAAGCCTCTATCCCTTTTTATCAATCAAAACTTTATGGAGCACCACGTGTCTATATTTTGGGAATACTAAGGTGCCGTTTGGTAATACTTACGTTTTCAGTTTTCTGTTTATATTTACAAAAATTTTAAAAACTCAAATAAAAACTTGTTTGGTAAATTTTTAATTTATAAATCAATAGTCTCAATTTATAAATTTAGCCAAAAAATGTAAACTCAAAAAATGTGTTTCCGTTTTGAGTTTTGAGTTTTTTTTTTTTTACCACCCAACACTAGCCACCACCTTCCACCCATTGCCACCACCGTCTTCCGCCACCACCCCCACCACCACTCACCACCCACTTGCCACCACCACCATCCACCACTCGCCACCACCACGCACCCTATTACCATCCTAGGAATATGAGAGACCACAACCTTTCGAAACCGGCCACCTATGAAGCATGGGTACTTCAAAAAACATATCGTACCCGTATCGAGTACTCACTGGCGTATGGTACGTCGTATGGTATTTTTGCATACGTACTGGGTACACAAAACATGTATCCAAATTTTTTCTGCTTAATTTTTAACGTACTCAAACATACCTACTATATACCCCAAGTCGTACCATACTTTATAGTTGAAACATTATTTTCTTCTACTGCAGAGATAAAACTCATTTCACTAGACTTCTTTTTTATTTTTAGTTTTATACATAACATGATTTTAAAATTAAACTATGGTTTGTAAGTTATTTAATATATTGATATTTAATTTTGATTTATACCTTTATTTTTGGCATTAAATGTTAATTGTAGGTTGGGTCTTAACAAATTAAACTATTTAATTAATTTTTGCACTACTCTAAATTAAAAATAAATATTTTTTATAAGCGTACCAAGCCGTATCCGTACCCTACTTTTTTTTAAATTTTACCATATTGACATACCCGTTTCATACCAGTACCAATACTCGTACCCATACCCGTGTTTCATAGCCAACCACACACTAATTTAGGAATGGCAACGGGGCGGGCCGGGGCCGGGGACTGCCCTCCCCGTCCCCGATCCCCGACAGTAAGAAATTCCCCGCCCCCGCCCCCGATCACCGACGGGGAGCCCATCGCCCTCCCCACCCCCGTCCCCGATCGGGGATCGGGTATCCCCGACCCCACAAATTCCCCGAAATATAGCAGCTGGTCTGATTTTTTTTTTGTTTTTTTTATCTGTCAAACAATTTTTAAATTTAAAAATCTGTACACATCTAGGAACATGTTTTTGTTCAATTGTAGAGTCTGATTCATTGATATTAAATGAAGAAGAAGAAAAAAAAGCAATAATCTAAAAAAAAAAGAAGACAAATCACAACTCAAGAACACAAAATCATTAACAAATCTGTGTATCAACAAATCATTATCAACAACAATAATAAAACCATCAGATCTCAGATCTCAGATCTCAGAGAGAGAAAGAGAGGACAACGGAGGCATGAACAGCGGCGAACGATTGAGAAAATCAGCGTGATGGACGACGGAGGAGGTGGAGCAGCGGTGCGAGGTAGATAGAGGTGCGAGAGTGATGAGGTGGACGGAGGTGCAGAGTCGACAACGGAGGTGAAGCGGCAGTGCGAGATGGACGGCGACGGCGGTGGATCTGGATGAGAGACGCGGTCGTGGTGGTGGTAGATCTGAGAGAGAGAGAGAGAGAGAGAGAGAGAGAGATGAGAGACGCGACTGTGAGTGAGACACAGAGAGAGAAGTGAAAGTGAGACAAGGGAGAAAAGTGAAAGTGAGAAACACTGATCCTTATATATATATATATATGGGCAAAATAGTAATTTCACATCGGGGATAATCCCCGTCCCCGGCCCGAAACTGATCGGGGATTAATTTTTGAATACCGTCTCTGCCCCGTCGGGGGTATTTTTTGGGAAAAACCCGCTCAATTCGGGGTCAGGGGGTCGGGTTCCCGTCGGGCTGGGTTCAAATTGCCATCCTTATATGTAACTTCTTTTGGTTATTGATTAGTTCGGCTTAGCCAACTTTCACCAATTCAATCTAGAAAAATGAAACTTGTCACACAGGATGAATATCACCAGTTTTTTTTTTTTTTTTTTTTTTTTTTTTAGGGCTCTGCACGAGAAAGAGGAACGGGCCAAGGGAGGCGTGACACGAACTCAGTTCTTCCTGATTGCACTCACCTGCAGCTTTGCTTACTATGTCTTCCCAGGTTACCTCTTTGAAATGCTAACTTCATTCTCATGGATCTGCTGGATATTCCCCACATCAGTCCTAGCCCAACAGCTCGGTTCGGGGCTTTATGGGCTTGGCATTGGTGCTCTCGGATTCGACTGGTCCACCATCTCATCCTACCTTGGAAGCCCATTGGCAAGCCCATGGTTTGCCACTGCCAATGTTGCTGCTGGATTTGTCCTTGTCATGTATGTGTTGACTCCCATTTGCTATTGGCTTGATGTCTATAAAGCCAAGACCTTCCCAATATTTTCGGACGATTTGTTTCAATCAGATGGTATAATATACAATATTACGAGCATTATCGACTCCAATTTCCATCTAGACATTGCGGCCTATGAGCGAGAAGGACCTCTTTACCTCAGTACATTTTTTGCCATGACTTATGGTGTTGGTTTTGCTGCACTCACTGCGACAGTTGTTCATGTGTCACTGTTTCATGGAAGGTACTACTATTAAAGCATAAGGTGCCGTGGTATGGTATGTGCTAGCATTGATATTATCCATTGTCTATTGTTGGTGGGTATTGCAGTTCCTGTTCGTACATCACAATTGGTCATGTAGACCAATGTTGGCCTTTTGACATGGACTGCAATTCCAAATCGCCCTGTTTTGTGCAGTTTATAGTTTGTTTGTTTTTTTGGTGCAACTTTTCTTAAACTGAAATTTGATAACAACTTAAAAGCACTAATTTCCCAACTTCTAGATTACAATGAATATGCTAGGGACCAAAAACTCAACTCTCATATTGTGGTGTCCACACTTTTTAAAATAAATCTGGACCACACTTTTTTTCTTGATAATTTTTTGTGTCAATTTTTTGTCCTCGGAAGGGGCGCAAGAAAGGAAACCGAGTAGAGCTGCATTTGACAGAAAATTGGAAACTCAATTTCAGCGGTGAAAATGCAGAGAAATTTGGGAGCAGAGCAAATCGAGTTTTGGAGAGAGGAAGATGGACATACACACAAGACTGATGAGCAGGTACAGACAAGTCCCTGAGTGGTGGTTTTGGGTGATCCTTGTCGTAAACATTGCAGTCACCATCTTTGCCTGCGAGTATTTCATTGATCAGCTTCAGTTGCCATGGTGGGGTGTGTTACTGTCATGTGTGATTGCCTTCGTCTTCACTCTTCCTATTGGGATCATCACTGCCATCACAAACCAGGTAATTCACTACTACTCTCTTGGTTGCTGCATTGAAAAACAAAACAACCTATGGTTTTGGATTATTACAAGTTGAAACTGTATATGTTGGCAATGGACAGACACCGGGGCTGAACGTGATCACCGAGTATATAATTGGGTATATATACCCGGGATATCCGGTGGCTAACATGTGCTTCAAAGTGTATGGATACATAAGCATGACACAGGCTGTCACCTTTCTGCAAGATTTCAAACTTGGTCACTACATGAAAATTCCGCCTAGAACTATGTTCATGGCACAGGTCAGTAATTGAAGCCACTTTTTTGTTAGAAAAACAGTTTTGATTCTGAGGCATTTTGGTCATTTTTGAGTTAAAATAAAAGTTGGCCCAACATGTATCCCAATCCACCTTATAACAGTATAGGTTAACAACTTATGTTTGTATGCTCAAAACTGTTGACAAATAAATGAGTAATTGACTCCGAAAATATAGCAAATTGGTTGTCAAAGAAACCTCAATGAAGTTTATGTACTTCTTCCTTGGAGATGGGTTTGGATGACAAAAAACACCCAAGTTTTATAGAAGAGAAAAAAGGACTTAACCAAAATAGTTTTTTTTTTCCTTTTTTCCTCACAATTTATTTTCCTTTCGCACCTCCTCAACCGTCTAAAGTTACAAACAAGTGACAATAGTTAATTTTTTTTTATCATCATGTAGGTTGTAGGAACACTGATTGCTGGTTTTGTCTACTTGGGCACTGCTTGGTGGTTAATGGAAACAATCCCAGACATCTGCGAGTCATCCTCCTCCATATGGACTTGTCCAACGGACACTGTCTTCTACGACGCATCCGTAATCTGGGGTTTAATCGGACCTCGTAGAATCTTCGGAGACGAAGGCACATACGGAGCAGTCAACTGGTTCTTCCTGGCGGGAGCAATCGCACCACTACTAGTATGGCTAGCTCAGAAGGCCTTTCCGAACCAAAATTGGATACGACTAATCAACATGCCGGTGTTGATCGGGGCCACCGGAATGATGCCACCGGCCACGGCCGTGAACTACACGACTTGGATCATAATGGGATTCTTCTCAGGTTTTGTAGTGTATAGATATAGACCAGAATTGTGGAAGAGGTACAATTATGTTCTGTCAGGTGCGCTAGATGCTGGATTGGCTTTCATGGGAGTGTTGTTGTATTTTTGCTTGGGATTGGAAGATGTGAGTCTTGATTGGTGGGGGAATGATCTTGATGGCTGTCCTTACGCATCTTGTCCTACTGCCAAAGGGGTTAGTGTGCCTGGTTGCCCTGTTGTGTTATGAAATATTTGAGAGATTGTACCTTTTGTTTTTGGTTTTTTTTTAGTTGGCCTTCATTATGTAAATACATTGTTTTTAGGACAAATTATACCAATAATTTCTAGTTTCTATTGTTTGTATCAATCTGATCCATATGCTACTTATTGTCATGCATTTGCTCTGTAATTTTTTTGATTTATTCCATTTCAATTTTCTCTTATATATTTTTAATTGAGAGGTTTGAAAGTCAAATTTTATTCATCATAAAAAAAAGAAAGTCAAATTTTATTAATGAAAAAAATTTGCTATTTTTTTTAGCAATATTTAATCTAATATCCCTCTTCAACTTTTGATAATAAAAGAAATCAACAATGTATTTTTTTTTGTGTAGCTTAAGATCCCTTACCTGCACCCACTCCCACCCCCACCCCCGTTCTAAGTGTTCCACATTTCCCCTCTCTCTCTCTCTCTCTCTCCCCTTTTTCGTTTTAGTTCTCACGCCTTTTCTCTCTTCTTCTCCCTCTGGCGCTGATCAAAATCGAATTTGCATCATCGGAGTAGTCTACCATCTCCGAAAGGGGCGCAAGAAAGGAAACCGAGATGCCATTCCTTTACCTGTTGCTTCTGATGTCCCAGCACCCACAAGCAAACACTTAAGCTGCTTTGTATGCCTTTTCCAAACAGTAGAGTACTGAAAACAAATTACATTATCCACACACATATACACGGGTGATTATTCAGTACTCCCGGAGTATGGACACGTGGTGCTCCATAAGGTTTTGATTGGTGGAGAAGCGCAAGGACCCACGATTTATGTTGGGAATGGGAGAACAACATGGGGCTAAATAATTGATAATTAACTTGGAGTATGGACACGTGGTGGTCTAGGAGTATTGAATAATTTCCCATATACACATACATATATATAACACAACAATAGTTAATGGCTTCTCATTGGAGTACTGTTTTAATTTATACTAGATGGAATTGCGGGAGTTTGAAAATTGGGCATAAGAATTGTCTTCTTCAACCTTTGATTGGTTGTCTATTTGGCTCTTTGTTTCAAGTTGAGAATGGAAAGGAAGGACTAGACAAAAATTTCTCTAGATATTTTTTTGAAATTTTCTCTTCAAAGAAATTTCTTTGTGAATATTTTTGAGGCGAGTGGTGAAGGTGCGGGCAAGGGAAGAATGCTCCGGTAGCTGAACGAGCAACGCGAGAATAGAGATAAAAAGAGAGAAGATGTTGACATTGAAGAAGACGAAGGTGATGAACCAGAGAAGCTATATCTAATATAGATGAATATGTGTGTATATATGTATATCAATGGCATCATCTGGTTTCTTCTTATTTGTATGCTCCATTCTCTGATTGAGTCAACACAATTTTTTCTGCTTTCGTCAAAATATAGAGAAAATTGTAAGTAAATCACAGAAAATTAAAATCAGAGAAATTTCAAAGTGCAAAAATTTGAAAATAGAGGAAAATCAGAAAAATTGAGCAAACCAAAAAAATCTCAAAACACATAGAAATTTGTCGGTGTTTCAAAATTTCGCTGGAAAAATGTTAAGGAACCTCAACCACTATGAAAATATTACATGTCTTTTATCCTTTAAAATCTTAATATCAGAGACCTTAAATTTATTTATTTTTTATTACCTAATCTTTCTTTAGTTTTATTTCTCATTTTTTTAATTATAAAGTTTATGGATGTAACAATAAGGATTATTTACACAAAACCTTCTAAACTATTAAGAACTATCACTTTAACCTCCTAAACTATAAAAGTGTACATCATTGAAATATATTTTTATACCTAAATGAAGTTGTTTTTGGCTATGAGATAGTTTTAACTGAAAATATCTAATCATCATGTGTAAAGTACAAATATTACATTGTTCTGTTAATTGTATTTAAGCAAGCTAATATTTAACAATATTAAGCTCTCGTTTGGCAATGTGGTCAAGACTAATTCAACTTACTTAACAATAAAAGAGATTAAAAAGTCAATAAGACAAATGTAATAATCATTTCACATCAAAACTACAAAAAAGTCAAAACTTTTTTAATCAGACTAAAATAGCCAAAAACTAAAAAATCAGGCTAAAAAAATTCTTTCCAAACATAAATTAATTTGTTTAAATATCAACTATGTGGGAGCCAAAAAAAATATATATATATCCACTTATTAGGGTTAACCCAAATAAGGCTTACAATGGGTCCAGCCCAAACAAATATCACACCCCCCATCTATATAAAGGGGGGGCATTCCAGAAGAAAGGTATGTTCTCTCTCTCTCTACACTACACACCAACACTCTTGATTTCCATAGCTTTATTCTTTCAATCAAAGGACTAACTTTAGCATCGGAGTGTCTCCGGCCGGCAACCCCGATTGGGTGGCGCCGATCATGTTCATCTTTGCAGACACACAGGAACAAAGTTCATACCTTCGTTGGATCTCTACAACATCCATGTGAGAGGATATTTCATGGTCTCACAATTTGCACCGTTTGTGGGAAACGTCTGCAAGAGTTCAACGAAGAAAGGAGCAAACATGTTCTTGTAAGTAAAAATTTAACAACACTGATTGATCTTGCTCTCTGCAAATTAGTTTAAGATTGGTTCTTGGATTAGAGGTACATATGTTTGTGCTTACAAAATAGAGCTTTTTGTTCACTGTGAATCTCAATAAAAAGTTTTAAAACAACATAGAATTCATGGTCTACTTTTGCATTTCCATTTTCTCTCTCTACAAATGGGTTTCACTTTTCTTAAAGAGAGCCTCTTTTCGACAATTCAACAAGGTTGTTCGGCCAAACTCAATTCATTTATTTATATACATTTAGACTCACAAGTGGTGTCCCACCTTTATTGAATGACTTGACCAAGTTTATAGATATATGTGCATATACACAGGATGCATTATTCAAAATCCTTGCAATATTAGCACTTGATCGCTACTTAAAATTAGCATAAGTCTCCGAGTATAGCGTAATCTTCGCACTCGGCATGGAGCGCCACCAGCAAAGGCCTACACCCTCGCCCGAGGGTAATCATACCGTGGTCCATTTTTTGGCTGATATATTTACCTTATTTAATCTACATTATTTGGTTCAAGCAATCATTTTCGTGCTTGGTATATAGAGATATCACTAGCTTGGCACGAAAGTTCATATTTTGAAGTGCTCTTGGCACTCGACAATATACTACACCCTCGCTTGGGGGTCATAATATCGCCGTGGCCCATCGTTATGATTTGTTTGAAACTCATGTGATATAGTTTCATCCTATGATAGACATATGTATATTTATACATACATTCAAGACATACGTACATTTATGCATACATACAGTCATTCATTCATACATTTTATTCATTTATCCAGAGTGTTCTTTATCAAAAAACCTAACAGCTATTTGAATAGCGTAACTCGGCAAGAAAAACTCTCATTCTTTTTACCGCAAATAATGAAAGTTTTGGGGAAATTGTGGGAGTCAGAAAAACTATATATATCCGCTTATTGGGGTTAACCCAAATAAGGCATACAATGGGTCTAGCCCAAACAAATATCACCCCCTCCCCCATTTATATAAAAGGGGGCATCCCAGAAGAAAGGTATGTTCTCTCTCTCTACACTACACACCAACACTCTTGATTTTCATAGCTTTATTCTTTCAATCAGAGAACTAACTTTAGCATTGGAGTGTCTCCGACCGGCAACCCCGGTTGGGTGGCGCCAATCATGCTTATCTTTGCAGACACACACGAACAAAGTTCATACCTTCGTTGGATCTCTACAATATCCATATAAGAGGATATTTCATGGTCTCACAAACTTGTTACATTTCATAAAGTACCCTTACAATGCAAGTTTAGTTCATACATTATACATGTTTTAATGCATATAGTTATAGTTCAATAGATTTATTTTGATTGGAATAATACCAATATTGCATTATTCAACTGTGACATTCAGGGTGGCGTTTTTCAATGGGGGAATTTGTTGAAGACCAATATTGCATTATTCTACCGTGACATTCAGCAGATTTGAATTTGCAAAAAATCTAGAAAAGCTTTTCCTGAAAACTTAGTTCTTGAAAACTTGGGCAAAGAACAGTCTTGTTGACAACAATCACTGACTCCCGCTTTCAAGACAGTTTGTAAAAATCTGAATTTTTTCCCTTATCATTCTTATTATTATTTTTACTATGTATTTATTTCATTTTTAATCAATTAAATGCATTATTAAATTCATTTTAATTTTGTTAGCCAAAAGACAACCTAAGAGGGGGGTGAATTAGGTTTTACAATTAAAATTAATAATACCCTAATAAAAATTATGACTAGCACAATAGATAAATATAATTAATGAAATAAAAATAATTAAAACAAGTGTCTTAACAACTAATGTCAATTAATGATTTTAGCACAATAAAAATGTAAAATATAGCTATGACAATTTAAAATAAAATAAAGAGATAAGGGAGAGAGAGACAAACAAATTTATAGTGGTTTGGTTTCAACTCGGCTTACATCCACTCCTCAAGCTTCACTTGAGATTTTCCACTATCTTCTAGCTTCACGGGAGTGCTAGCAACCTCTTTACAAATGGAGCAATCCTCCACGAATTTTACACAGACTTTACAAGCCCAAACCCTTGCAAATCTTAGGTGATTCATAATCGCTCTCAAAATTTCAAGAACACAGTGTTTGCAACACTTTTACGAGATGAAATGGTATTTTTGCTTTCAAAGAAAACTTACAATAAATATCTCTCAAAGATAGAAATATAAAATGAAATTTTGATTTTTCTGTAAATCTCACATAGAAAAGATGGGCTTAAAGCTGTAAGACTCAGTGTATAATTTCTGAGAATAGATGTGAGTGACCCTTGCAAATCTTAGGTGATTCATAATCACTCTCAAAATTTCAAGAACACAGTGTTTGCAACACTTTTATGAGATAAAATGGTATTTTTGCTTTCAAAGAAAACTTACAATAAATATCTCTCAAAGATAGAAATATAAAATGAAATTTTGATTTTTCTGTAAATCTCACATAGAAAAGATGGGCTTAAAGCTGTAAGACTCAGTGTATAATTTCTGAGAATAGATGTGAGTGATTATAAATCAAAGAATATTTTCAAGTTTTTTTGTAATTTGTTTACATTC